GAGGGCAGTGTTAGCCTAGGTGACCAACAAGCCAACATGTGGCTGTGGTATTTAGTATTTATTATTGTAATAAACGAACCTTTACTCGTATTAATGATAAAACACCTCGGCATTCTATATCTTTGTCCGTTTGTCACAAGCATAGATATAGTCCTTACAGTTATTACAAGTACTAGTAATTGATCGTTAGGATCGTGAGATATTTACTCAAGTATTAAACTGTTAAAGGTGTTCCTAGTGGAAGGGTTACGCCATTAATGAGGATATCGGCCTTTCCCATCAAGACTAGCACTTAGTTTATGTGTACTGCATCTCATCAGTAAACGGTATTGTTTTATAAAAATGCATAAGTGGGTGCTAGTAACTTGAAGAGTTGGGTGAACTCCCTCTCCCTAGAAAATTCTAAGTGGTTCCCAATAATTGAAAAAAGATGGGGGGGGTATGGCCCCCCCCCCCCCCCCCCCTAGCTCTGTCACTGATGTCTGATGAAACTCTTATGATGTTCTCCCCACCAACAAGCGATAGCAGACACACACCTCAATATATATCGGAACTTTTTTATTTTATTTTATGTGAATGAGTAATTATTAATTAATAAAATAAAATATTTTAATAGAAGCGACAATTGGACCTTAAAATTAATGTGCACATGTATATTGTACGCAGCCACACATGTCAACATTGACGTGCATGGATCAGGGTTATAGCTTTGTCTCAAGCGCGTGTGGGGTACTGTCATCAACAAGAAGGGTATTATTGGAAAATAAAATATTTTAACATTGGACCCGTTCATCCTGATCGAACCGGGTTTTTTTCTTTTCTTTTCTTTTTTCATTGATCTTAAATTATTGTTTTAATTTTTTACTTTCAAAATATTATACTTTGATAGTTTGTGTGATTGAGTTCATCCTGATTTTAAAATTTCTAATTTTTCCAAATTTATTTGGAACAAAATTATTATTATTAATTTTTTTTTTGGCCAAAAAGATTTATTATTACATTATTTGAAAGAGTTTTGGGACCTCATTACATCCTTGTGACATACACAAGAAAAAAGAATACTCCTACAATGACAATAAAAATAAGAAGAAACCTTATTTAGAATATTACACAACAGCCCCAACTTGGGGTGAAAATGAAATAATAGAAAAGGAAACTTCCTAAATGTATATATATTTTTTTGGAATGAGTTTGTATTATTATATTTATAGATGTTAATGCTGTTACCTGTTGATTTATATGCCTATAGAAATCAATTAACCTAAGTTGTAACAGTTAAG